CTGTCCCTGGGTCAACGAGCTGCACCCAGACAGGGTTGTTCAGAGCTGGCGCGGGCGCCTGCCCCGGGTAGACGCCCGCGCCCAGCATCGCGGCGGCGGCGGGCGCCGCGCGAGCGCCCAGCGGGCCGGCGAGGGAATGGCGGGCCCCCCAAACCGAGGCACTGCCGACCAGGGCTTTGATTAGGTCGGGCATGTCCCCCTACAGTCGGATTCTTGACCAATGAGAAATTCACCAAGATGATCAAACACATTCAGACAACAATTGGGGAATCGTCACAAGATTGTGCCCACCTTTTTTTGAATATTCCTCCTATGCTGGGACATGCCCGACTGCAGGCTTTGAGCATCCCGCCTGCAGGGAGAAAATAGCTACGTGATGGCGCACGTCTCCACCCACAGCTGCAGCCCCCTGAGGGGCGCGTCAACGCGTCCCGGCCCGGCAGCTGCACCCGTAGTTTGAAGGGGCCCTGGACAGACCGACCAGCCACATCGCGAGCGTTTTCTTGCTCGGCGTTTTCACAGTGGGAGAAGGCATAAACATTGCGTTGCCGAGGACCCCACATACTTAGCATGTGTCTTGCGTGATGGTAGCTGACGTGGACCTTGCGAGCATGTTGCTTGGCCGCTGCTTAGTACTGGGAGCGAGAGATGGCATAAGCATTGCGCTGCCGAGCGTGGTGGTAGCTGACGTGGACCTTGCGAGCATGTTGCTTGGCCGTTGCTTCGCCGACATCGAAGGCGGCGCGGTTCAAACCTTGGGGGCCTGACATGCCGCGCCAACAACGACGGGTACAACGCCAAACGGAAACTGAGTTTTACAAGCGTCGCACAGGGAACGGTTCGCACGCCGCCGCTTCAACAGAAAGTCTCCGGGAGCAAGCGCTGCTTATGCGGCCGCTCAAACAATGCGGCTCGGGGACATACGCGCGAGGCGAAGCCTGTCGACAGAAAGTCTCGGGTTGGCGCACGGCGGTGGCCGTACCTTTGACGGGGAAACACTGGCGGTCGTCCGCGTTCACATATGACCAGGGCGCTATCTTACACATCGCGTTACCCGTCGGTCGGAGGAAGCTGGTAAACAACAACAAACATGAAGTGGCAAGGCTTCCGCCCGCCCCCTGAAGAGGAGGGAAGAGGCAAAACCACACGACCATTGAAATGGTAAGGCGGCTAGAATGGATCGAGACCTGGGAATCCAAACATACCTACTTTCAACGACCGTCGTGTACACCTCTGTCCCGCTATTTCCGGCTGTTGGAAAAGCATTTTGGAGTTTGGAATTCGCCGCGGAACAGGCGCCCTTGGCACTGCCACTTTCTATTCCTCTGGCTGCTGGAGGGTACTCGTTCCATCTTTTATTGTGCCGACGTCCGCTGGAATGCTGGGTATATGATCCTTTCCCTGGTGGGTGCTGTCACTGTGCAGCCAGGAGGTCTGGGCACGCACTTCCTCGTCCTTCGGCGCCTGCGAGGCCGCCAGGCGTACGCCATCGGCAACCAGCGCCTGGCCACCCACGACCAGGAATCTTGGAGGCGACTCCGATCTGCCCAGACAACAAACCGACATCCGGTCGGATCGATCGGATCGCAATGGGCCCCCGGAGCCGTGATCGAGGCATCGATACGGTCGTATCGACGATCCCTCGCGGGGGGGGTCACGACCGATGGGACACCCGGCGGGGGGTACGGCCAACGCGCTACAGTCGAGGCGTTGACCTAAGGAACCCTAAATCAGGAACGAGGCCCCCATTTTCCATAAACTTCGATTTTGCATCGAAAACCTAAGGAAAATCTAAGGCAAGCTGCGAAACAATCAAGGAACACGGAGCCCCTCCCCAACGAAAAGGGTTCCTTCTTCAGGGCCCCGACTGTACTGTGACGAACGCCCCAAAAAGGACGAAGGGCCGTGTCTGGCCACAGCGAGCCTCGGCCGCGCATGGGCTCCCGACCAAGGCACGCCCCGGAGGTGAGCCTGATTCTAGGTCGGACGTGGCTTCCTGCAGGCGGATTGTGTGAGACAAACAGAAATGAAGGGGCCCTGGGACACACAAAGAAATACACACAAATAAAATGATCCCCCATATTTTCATATATTTTCAGGGTTTTTGTCTTCCCGCCCAATTCCCATATTTTCCCATATGTTCGGGGGAGTCGACGATGAATTGTGTCTGTGTGTTTCTTTCCCTCCTGAAGAAAACATCGTTAAAACAATTATCAAGCATCAGCAATAATTGTAGAGAAACCGTCCCCAGACCATCGTTGCACAATTTTAGGACTTTCCTCCGGTAGAGTGGCACGCCCGACTTGAACCTAGTTCCGGCGTCTTGACTTTGAGGGTCACAGCTCCCCCGGCTGTGGCTGGCCTCGAGGAGGTGTGGCGCCCCGCGCGCGCGGGCTGGAGCAGGCCCGCCCCTGGGCCGTGCCTTCGAGTGGAGGACGGGGGCGGGAAGGAGGTCCAGCAGGAAGGAAGCGGGTCCTGGAGGAGAGGAGGAGGGACAAGGGAGCAGGGAGCAGGGAGGAGGGAAGGGGGAGGAAGGAGGAGAGGGGGGCGGTCCTGGAGTTCTTTCGCTATTCCCGGGCTCCAAGGACGACCGGAACAAAACAACACCTTTTTTTCACAAGCGCAAGAGGAGCCCCGTGGCAAGAGCAAGGAGAACGACACGACAACGACACAGGCGCGCGGGAGGGGGGAATCCGCGTCGAGCGCTCCGAACTTTGCAGTGGGGGCCGGGGGGGGGGCCCGCCTCAGCACGCTCTAGAGCTGGCCGTTTGCGCTGTTCGGCAGCACAGAAAGGCGATATGGAAGCCCCTGCTTTCTTAGGGGAACGAAGAATGACAGAAGCGTAACAACTCCGAGGTCCGCGCAGATTTTTCGGATCGGCGCTCGGGCCCCCTGGCGGCGCCTCTGGTGCCGCCCCTGGCGCGCTCCGCGCGCCAGGGAGGGGGTCCAGCGCGAATCCAAGAAATTCGCGCGGACCGCCGAGTTTCCATGCTTATGTCATCCTTCGTTTCCCTATTTCTGTCGGCGGCGAGCCCGAGGGGGAAATGATAAGGGACGGGCCTTCTCAGAAGACTCGGAAATCCCCATGCCTTATGAGGAGCTCTCCGAGCCGTCCTCGGAGACGCAGAACAAGACTACCTGGAGGGCCGGAGCGCTTCCGAGAAGCCCCGCACCGCCTTCCGAGGACGCCTCCTCCTTCTCACTTCCCCCCCTCCTCGGTGGCAAGTCATGGGAGCCCCCCATACCCTCTGGTCGGCTCTTGCGAATCGACGCTACTCGATGCTAGATCCACGCTCATCGCCGCCAAATCGACGCTACATCGACGCTAGATCGGCGCTACCTCAACAACTCCTAGACGCGAATCGCCGCTAGTCGCCGCTAAAGACGGCCTCTTCAGAGGTACCGAGCCCCCTCCCTCGCCGCCGGCTCGGAGGAGCCCTCCCCCACCCCTCCTCATCTTCCTCCTCCTCCTCCTCGTCTTCCTCCTCCTCCTCCTCCTCCTCCTCCTTCTCCTCCTCCTCCCCCATCCTCCTCCTCCCCCGCCCCTCCGCGCTCTCTCCGAGCGGTGCCCCCCATCCCCGAGGTGCGGAGGGGGCGGGGCGGCGACGGAGCGGCAGAGGCCTCCGAGAGGGGGTCGGAGCCGCTGGGGTCGGAGGACCGCGCAGCATCGCCGACACATCGGCGATATGTATATATATAATATATATATATATACATAATATATATATATATATATATATCGGCAAGGCGCCAGCGATGCCTCGCCGACGTCGGCGACGCATCGGCGGCGTCGACGTGAAGCAAAACGGACTGCACGTCGAGCCGCGTCGGCGGTGCACCGGCGATGCGGAGCGACCCTTCGACCCCATCTACTCCGACCCCACTTGTTACCAGCCTCGAACGTATCCCTATCCCTAAGCTTGACACGCCGAAAGGCGATGACAATCTTAGGGATTCGCCCTCAAAAAATAAGGGAATCCCTGAGATTGGCATCGTGAGGAGGAGGTGCCCAGCATGGGGATAGGGATATGTTCCAAGCTGGTAAACTTAGGAGGCCTGAGACTCCGCCACGCCCTCGCGCGCTGGCTCGGAGGAGCCCTCCCTCACCCTCCCGCCCCGCCTGCTCCGAAGGCTCCCCCCCCCCCCCCCCGCGCCACGGGGTGCGGATGGGGGCGAGGCGGCGAAGGACTGGGAGGGCCTCGGGAGAGGAGGAGTGGGCCGGAGCAGGCGCAGGCGGCGGAGCAGGACGAGAGAGAGATTACGTTGCATCTTCGGGGGACCTCGCCTGTCCCCAAACTTCATGCCTGTCCTTGTGCCCGACGCGGGCGCGATGCGGACTCGACGCGGATCTGGTGTGGATTCGGCGCGGATTCGACACGGATTCAGCACAGATCCGACGAGGCCGACATCGATTCGACACGGATTCGACGCGGATAGGGCCGCGACGGGACAGACAAGGCCCCCCGAGAATGCAACACAACAGAGGGAGCGAGGAAGGGCATCAGGGCTGGAGCTTATTGGTGCTCTTCGCTTCTCGTTTTTTCGTGCCCTTTGGGGACCTTCCTGGAGCCACTCGCTCCACTCGTGCGTCGACGCTGCGTCGAACGTCCGCCGATTCGAGTCGACCTTGAATCAAACCTGAGTCGAACCTGAATCGAAATTGAGGCGAACTTGAGTCGAACTTGCGTCGAACTGGGGTCCAACAGATCCGTTAGGTGGGCCCCAGGAAGGTCCCGAAAACGAGCATCTAATGCCCACGTCCTGTCTTCTTCGCTGCAAAACGACATCAGAACGAAGACGTTCCGCGGAATCGCCCAAACAACGAGTGGATCGAACCCAGGAAAGTAGGAAGGAGGGTACTCCAGATTTCGTAATAAAGAGAGGGGGGTCTCATTTCGGGGGGGGGCTCTTCCAGGCTATCTTGGAGGGCCTGGGGGGTCTGGGGACGATGGTTTGGAGGGTTCTCCCACGGGGGAGGTCTGAAATGGCTTGTCTTGGAGGGTCCATACCCCCTCCCTTTTATTACGAAATCTGGAGTACAGATGGTGGGTTCCGGCAACCCTGAACCCCCAAACCTTGCCATCTCTT